GGGGGGGGGGGGGGAGTCTGATGTGCCTCTGTAAATACATGTTGGTTGTTGGTAAATGGGTGCTGTAGGAGAAAGTGAGACATGATATGACTTGATTTAGTAGATTAAATTTTTCCCTGTATAAGGTGCGGTAGAAATTATGCTGAACAAGAGGAGAGGGTATCAAGCTGTTTCACATCTAACTTAATAGGACTTGTACTGTAATCGGCTAATAGCTTCACCAAAAGGAGTTGTACTGTAATAGCAGATCTACCTATCTTTTAAACTTTGGCTTTGATGGAGTGCAGGAACAGTGTCTGGACTTTCTACTTCTGCAGCAGAAGATATTCGTCCCATTTATAGGGAAAATGCCGAACCTGGGCGACCATCTGCTGCGGCGATTCACACTCCTGTTAACAGGAGAGATACTGAACCTAATATTCCATCTACGGCAGCTGTTTCTGTCCCCTCCTTTATGAAGGATACTGGGCCTAGCTTTTCATCTGATGCAGCTAGTCATGTTGAGGATATTCCTATGGTTGACATGGCCACCGAAGACATTGATCTTCCAATTAGAAGGGAACATAATGAACCTATCCTTTTGTCTTCTTCCCCCATGGAACTGGAGGAGTTTCTTTCAGATGTTAGAAATGGCCCTGCCACACCTGCCAGTGGCAGGAGCAGAGAAAGTGTTCCTGTCTCTCTCACGGGCCATAATGAAGATACAGAGCCTGATTCATTGTCTACTGCAACAATTGATGTTGAGGAAGTTGATTTGGTTGATGAGTTGGAACATCCGATTATACTTTCTGGAGACAATGAAAACCCTTTCACTTACTTAGCTAGTCTGTCTGCTAAGAAGGCTGGTACGAATGGCAGTGGTTCCACTGTTACAGGAAAAATTAAGGTATTTTGTGTTTTCCCTCTTGATATCAACTTCTCTGATGCTGCTGTTTTGAAAGTTCATTGTGGCTCTTCTTTCTTACTTTAATCAGCTAAGCCTTTTTCACTTGGATGTAATCTGTCTGAATCAATTTTTTGGGATACACGCAAGCAGAATAATAGATATAAATTAGTTTAATGAAAATAGCTAGATAGAAAGTCAGACATGGATTGAAGAATAGAATCACAAACCCTAATTGAACGTCTATGATAAAACTTTTTATAAGAAATTTATCTTGCCCAAAGAACAACAACAAATAATTAAAGATATAAAGATTTAAAGAACAAAGAATTGCCGTCAAGAATCAACCTTGAAAGTTATTCCGTAGTTCAACCCGAACAAAGAGATTTCCAACCTCTCAGAGGTGTTTATCAAACTCACAATATGCTAAAAGCTACTCTAAAAGACGAGTCTACTAATATTTATAGCTATTACATAAAGATGAGAGAAGACAAAATTGCTCAAGCTTAAAAGTTAAAACTATTGCCAACTGATGGACCAATGCAAATGCTGGCTCAATAGCTCAACCTCAGCGCATCGCACTGAGATGAGATTTTCAGGTAATTTTCATGCTTCAGTACGAGATACTGTGCCAATTCTCTAGTCTGATGCGGTGCGTCTATTCTAATTTTCAAGCAATATTCTCCTCAGCTTGTTCCATGCAATCCTTGAGCCTCCGAACATGGACTTTTTGCAAGAATCCTAAAAAAGGCTCCGAACACCCTCTGACCACTTCTTGAAGATCATGTAGCTCCTAAAGGTGCAATCCTTGGATGCTCTTGGTTTTGTAACGAGTCAATGGTCCTTTTGACATCTCGGGATCTTCCGCAGTGTGCTCCATGCCATATGGGATCATTTCATTGTGTATGACAGCAGCTTAAGTAGGTCTAGTTAAACCAATGGCAATCTATCAAGAAAAACCTAGTTGCAGGCATTCCTCTTTCTAGCATGGTATCTTTTTGTGTTATTGGTTCGTTTCTGTCTATTGGAAACAACCTCTCTATCTCTACAAGGTAGAGGTAAGGTTGCGTACACACTCCCCTTCCCAGACCCACTATGTGGGATTATATGGTCGTGCTCGTCTTGGACTTGGCCGTGCCCTTTGGGTCGGCCATGCTCATGCGGCGCCGACGTCAATGAGGAATGTCTACCCCCTCAGGGTAGGGGTAAGGTCTGCGTACACACTACCCTCCCCAGACCCCACTAGTGGGATTTCACTGGGTCGTTGTCGTTGTTGTTGTTGTTGTTGTTGTTGTTCTGTCGTTGTGCTTCGTCTCGACTTCCTTTGCAAATAGAATTAGTAATTTTAGCCATTGCGATTGAGGTTGTTTGGATATTGATTTCGTTGCTTTTCATTTTTAGCCCAAAAAGTTGGGAAAACTGAGTAGAAACTGAGATTTGGCTTAAATCTGCAGTGTTTTCTCACTGGTGTGAAGGGATTTCAGTATAGACAGAGGAGTAAATACGAGCTTCGGGCTTATGTTGATGATGGCAGCCTCATCTCTGAGATCCTTATTGGTCATGATGTAAGTTACTGAAGATTGGATCCGCTGACTGTTAGAATCTGATTATTGGTCTTTTGGTGCTTCAGGTTGTGCAGAAGGAAATAGGGTTTTCTCCTGCAGAAGTTACTGCTGCTCTTGAATCTTCAGATGGCAAACGAATCAGTGACATGAAGGAGACACTGAAACGTTTTCAGAAGTTCTTGGTGAATTTTGAGGTATTTCACTGCTATTTGTGAAGGGATTTTTCTTAATGGAAGTCTCCACATGAATCTTCTAAGTTCGTATTGGTTTATTATATAAAAATTCACCTAGCCGTAAATGCAGATAACGTAATAAAAAGTGCTTTTGGATCAAAAAGTACAATGCAAATACATCTCTAAGACTAAAGGAAAATGCGTCCTAGGATTGATTTTCTATAAAGGGCATGGCAACGCATGTATTAAATATATAACATTGATCAATAAACTCTGCACCGTCAACCCAACCTAGTGATCCTTATACAACTCTTCTGTAAAAGAATTATTAGAAAACATAAAAATATATATGATTATTTCTAGGATTGATAACTTGATTGTTATTGGCGCAAGCTGTTTTCCTGCTGAAGGATTATGATCTTTTAAAATTAATACTTGACGTAGCAAATATGCTCTGTGCATGAGAATGTTTTGGGCAATATGTGTCTTGCAGGGAATAATGCTTGTACAGTTGAATGAAGAATCCCCAATTCCAGTTGCTATTGAAATGAACCAGGGGTGTCCTGCCTCTGATGCATGGTTGCTTCTCAAAAGACTCAAGCCCGCTACTTCACAACCGCATCATCTTCACCCAGAAACCATCAATTTATCCCCTTGATGTGCTGATATGCATGTGGACATGTTCTCTGGAAAACTTCAAAACCACGTGAGCTGATGGTGGATATTATAGTCCATGAAATCCCAGGCTTATCACCAAAATCAGTTTATCCTAAGATTTTGAATCAGCAAGGTGAGTTACATCACATTGCTCAATTCAGAAAGTTGTTGCATGACCTGAGAAGTAACAGCGTAAATGTAGATATATTTGGCCTTGAATCAAACGATAAAATCACTTCTCAAAAGTCTTTGTGGGGCGGTGTCATATATAACACAGTGAATCAGCACAATGTAAGTGAGTTTTCCGTCATTCCTTACATAGAAGGCTAGCATTACAGCAACATGAGAAGATAGAAGGCTAGCATTACAGCAACATGAGAAGATAGAGGCCTCATCCTTAGCTGCTTACAATTAGCTAGGCTCAATTTATTTCCTGTGTTCGCAATCCACTTCTATCTTCAGAGGATAGGAGAGACTGGATATTATATTCTCTGGAGGACTGCAGATGGATAAATACTTCTCTGGTTCCCTGGTCCAGAATTTTCTTGCAGGGTATTGGTATCGGTGGTATTCCTGAGCTGACATTGACAATTGATGTGTATACTCGTGTTTATGGAAACAATGCTGAATTCATCCTGGTAGCAATTGCAAGAACTGGATTGCTCTTTTCTTTCCTTTTATCCTTCAAAAGGAAAGAGAAGGATGGGTTTTTAGGGTGGGACGGAGACTGAGCAAAAGCTAAGGTAATGTTAGTAATCCTAATTTAATTCCATTGTTGGTAAGCTGCCTTTGGTCATTTCAGATTTTATTGATACGGGACTCAGGATTGTAATCCAAACTTGTTTCCCGATGTTAAACCGAAGCGTGTATTCGTTTGTGCCAGAAGGCAGAAAGTAACTAAACAATTGCTAAAGGCAAATTACTACTGTACAACTAAACAAGAAAATGTCAACTTTCATCTTCGTGCTTTTCGCTCTAGAAGAAGTAGAAATCAAAGGGTAGAATTTTAATGTAAAATTATCCAGTGAAAGGTCAAAATAACCTTTATTCTATTTCTCAAAAGAAAGATACAGTTGAAAAGGAATAATGTGGATTTTTTTAGTTAAAAGATATAATATATAATAACAGAAACTAGATAGTATCAGTTACAATTTGTAGTATGGTATTCGCGTCTAAGAGTAGTCTATTGCTACATTAATGCTGTTACTAACCATTGTTTTCCTTTCAAAAATAGTTCCTAGAGTGTCTGTCCATAGTGTTTCATTGACAAACACCGGAGGAACTACCAAAAAGTTTCTACCCACTTACGTCCACTTCCCTGCTTCCTTTGCTAACTTGTCTGCGACTCTATTTGTCTCTCTGAAGACCTGGCTTACTGGTGGATGGCCCAAAGCTACCGGGAGTGACTTTCACATATCAAATTGTCATAAAATTTGTAAGAAGTGGGCGAGATTTACTAAATCACTTTTTCCATCAGATTACCCTAACTACTACACTGTACCATACAGTTTTTCCAATGCAATTTAATCATATGAATTGTTTTTCTTTTTGAGACGTCTCGAAATGTCTCACATCACTCTTATAATTTTTAGTACGATTTTCTCAACCAAATTTGAATGTCAACAATAAATTCGTTTCGAGCTTAGATTATATAGGAGAAAAAGAAGAAAGCTGACAATATATTGTGAATTTGAAAGAAGTTGATAAGATTTACTAAATTTATTCACTTCATCCGTCAGATTACCCCAATTCTCCGATATTCTACTAAATATTGTAACTATTTCAATACATTTTTCATAACTTACCAGAAATTTGAGTTCATTTGACTATTCAAAGGTTAAACTTCAATATGACTGAGAGAAGGAGTCACAAAAGAAATAGCTTTCGACTAAAAACACAAACGATGAGCAAAAGTCTGTTTAATATAGTAGCTTAGGGGAACCTTAAGGTAGGATATCAAGGTGAAGTTATGAATCTATGACATGCAATCCAGTTTGGTTTGAGTAGGGCAAAAGGAAATGACTTTTACCAATTTCTGGAGTGAGAAACAGATGGTGGTGAAAACAGAAGTTGAGTTCAAGTTTGGATATGAGCTAATTTTTCAACCACTCCTTAAATATTTCTTCGACTACTACTAATACATCATAGCCTAAGTAAACGTTCATATATATAGTCAAATATCTTCAAAATAAAATATGGGTAACAATATATAAAAATAGGTTTAGGCACCACTAACAAAAATCAAGTAATTTTTTTTCATGTCCTAGCCTTATTAAATAGAATATCAGTAATCTATGCTGATGAGAGGTAACATGCACTCGAGGAAATAATACTAATAATAATTTTAATAAGTGTATCTGAATATTGGGGACATGCTAATGCCATATTAAGGGAAGTGATGAAAAGCATGAATTAGAAAGAGAGAAAAGTGTGGGACAAAGAAACCTCATAAAATAATTGAAGCATAAAACTTACAACTCGGGAACGAAATATAAGGTCACTCCTATAAATTCTTGCCAACTTCTTCGTGGACTCTCTCACTTCTCTTCCCACACTCTCTTTCTCAACTTTTCTCATTTGCTTCCCT